TTTACAACACTGAGTCGAAGAATAGATGACCAGTAGAGTAGGGTTTCATTTCAGAAAGTTGTTTACAGTTTACCTAGGGAATGTAACAAATCCTCCGGGTTAGAAACTAGGGTTAGAGCTTAAGTGGAAAATCTCTTTAGCACTTTTCTGAAGAACTGACTTAAAAAGGCCACAAAAAGGAATTCATTTTCCATGACAGCTAGAATACTATGTTTTGTTTGTTTGCTTGTTTGTTTTGATATAACCAAAGAAACCAAGCTCACTGTCTCCGAGTCCTATAAGGACAGGTTAGAACTACTGTGAGTTACCAGACTAACTCTATATGAGTTTGACTCGATAGTGATTGGCATGTTTTATTTATGGGACATAGACACTTTTTCTCAATGTCCAACTGTCTGGTAGTAAAATTAATAATCTGAAGGTTATTGATTATTAGAAATCAGACAAAATCAGTGATTGGCTTGTTTTATTTATGGGACATAGACACTTTTTCTCAATGTCCAACTGTCTGGTAGTAAAATTAGTAATCTGAAGGTTATTGATTATTAGAAATCAGACAAAATCATTTGATTTAGATGGATGCTTGTGGTGAAGGGAAATCTGTTAATACAGTTCTTCTGTTTCTCTTTAACTCCTACCAAATAATTCAGTGGGACCATCCAAATGAGATGTAGAGCAGTGGTTCTCAACCTTCCTAACACCTCGACCCTGTAATACAGTTCCTTATGTTGTGGTGACCTCCAAAACATGAAATTATTTTCATTGCTACTTCATAACAAATTCTGCAACTGTTATGAATCGGGCGACCCCTGTGAAAGGGTCGTTCGACAACCCCCCAAAGGGGTCGCGACCCACAGGTTGAGAAGTGCTGATGTAGAGGATTCTATCTCAGGGATTGGTCAGTTTTGCTTTTCCTGTGGTTATAAAAGAGCCAGCTTAGAAGCAGGAAGAAAGAAAATCTTGGGACCATTGAGAAAGAATAGCCCCCAGCAGAATATGTGCAAGATCCTTGTCTGAAGTGGTGGAGGCAGCAAAGACTGCAGCACCGAGACCATGAGACCGAATAAGGAACCAAACTGGAGTGGCACCAAGACTGAGGCAGAGCAGCAGCTGGGGTTCCTGGCCCATGGGGACAGAGGCCATGAGACCATGTGACTGACAGGCGGAGGACCAGAGAGATACTTGATTGTTGGCTGAGGCATGGATGTGGCTGTAGACCTTTGTGTATCCTTAATATTTTCTTTTCTTAGCTTATGGTGACTTGATAGTATCCCTAATTAACCCCCATTATAATGAGTATTATTATTGTCTCAGTTCTATGTGGCCATTGCCAAAGATTATTTAACTCGGCAGAGAAGTAGAATGCTGTGGGAGAAAAGTTGGGGTCAAATAGGGTAAGAATGAAGTGGTAGAGATATGCCTGCCTTCTTCATTGTGACAGTTAATCTTAGGCTGGTGTAGCAAGGGATTCTCCTCTTCTCTACTGAAGCCCAAGGAAGTCAGATGTGACCTCCACATGCTTTCCTCAGTACTTAATTTTAGCTGTGAAAAACTCATGTGAGCTGTCTCTTCTTTCACATTGGAGTTAAACTCTGGGGTTATGTGGATAATTAACTCCACCAGATAACATATTTCTCCATGAAATAGAACTCAATATACGCATGTGAAGTTTTAAAATGCCAGGTTTCTAACTTGGACATATGTGTGGTTGGTAATACCTTTACCAAGATAAAAGAACCCAGAGTAGGAAAAAGGGTGGATTCAGATTTGAATCCATTGAGTTTGAAATACATGTGGTATAACCATGATAGAATCTAGTATTCATTTGCATATGTGGGTCCAGATCTCAGCTGTCTGGACTCTAGACAGTCTGGAATAATCAGCAAATAGATGGTAATTAACCCTTTATGATAGAGATGCGTGCTATAAAAGTATATGTAGACAGAGACAAGCACATGGAGTGGAACTTATTGGATAGTAACTTTTAAGTACAGAGGAAGAGGCCCCTGTGAAATACACTGAGAAAAAATGACCAGAGTTAGGAATACCAGAGGAATATTATGCCACATGTTGTAGGCTGGGTGTTCTGGAGAAGCAAGCACAGCGTGTGTGTGTGTGTTTGTATGTGGTGGGGAGGTAAAAATTTATATCAAGAAAATGACTCACACAGTTGTAAAAGTAGGCAAATCTAGGCAGGCTCCAAGTCTATGGGTCCCATGTTAGACTGGAGGCTTCCCACAAGTAACTATGGGAGCTGATGAACTCATGATTGGCAAAAAAATAACAGACTGTGGCTGCAGAGGTTAGTGAATCCAAGGTTGGCTGGTCACCTGGCAGGCGACTGATGACTTCAGATCAGCAGGCAATAAAAGCCTCCAGGCCAAAGAACTGGAAGTTAACAGCCAGATGCAGGATCCAGAGAAGCTTTCCAGTGAAACAAGAAACAGGCCGCACTTCCAAGGAACCGTCCTTTCAACTGGTTAGATCAAGACTGTGATTTAAGTAAGGGTATTGCCTGCTACCCTAACCTTAGAACTGCTGGGCGGCCCAGAGCAGATCCCATAAGGCCCATCATGGGAAATTATTAGGTCTTAACTGCCAAACTGTGGGAGAAACATGAGGTAGGATGGGGCAGAATTGACTTAGATCCATTTATTCACTCTGCAAATTTTTGAGACCATTTCAGTGGTGGCATTGGGCATCCAGTGGTGAATATCACGATGGTATTATTCCCCACTCTAACACAGTGTGTGTGATCCTGTATGTAGGCAGAAGACAGCGATGAATGGAGGGAAGAGCCTGAGAAAGTAGGAGTCGAGGTTATTTACATCTTAGTAGTCCATTAACCAGGCAAGAGATCCCAGGGTTAGGCATCATTTTCACACAGTTAAACAGAGATTGTGCCATCTGTAAACGAGGACATGGGAATTCATGAGTGGAGAAAGATAGATAATTATCATATGATCCAAAGAGAAAAGGAATACGTAATTTATTGTATGCATTACAGATAAATGATACTTTTAAACATAATGACTGCACTGATTTAAAATATTAGTTTTGGAAAATAAGAACAAATGTTTGTACCGTGAAACCTGAGAGAGCTAGAACTTGATGAGACTGGTTTGTTTTCCAGGTTTTTTTTTTAATGTTTTTAGAGATACAGTTGACCACTCACTGTTGCTCACCACTTTTCTATTACTCTGTTAGTAGGGAAATATTTTTCTTTTCTGGCCAGTTTCCGCCTTACTCAATTTCTGGTGTATGTAGCTTTGACTGTATTTGCCTATCTCTTCATAGAGAATATTGAAAGGTATACAAATAGGAAGACCTCACTATATATACTTTCACGTGCTATTTCCATGTATTCCTATATAAAGCAATAGAATTAATGGTAAAAAGGTGAATACAATAAAGGAAAAATTTTCGCTCTCTGCCATTGACTTGTTTCCAACTCATAGGACCCTTTCTAGGACAGGCTAGAACTGCTCCTTTGAGTCTCCAAGCCTGTAACTCTACAGGAGTAGAAAGCCTCATCTTACTCCCTTTCAGCAGCTGGGGGTTTCAAACTGCTGATCTTGTAGTTAGCAGCCCAACTTGTAACCATTGTAACACCAGTTAGGGTTGAAGAATTCTTATTTTTAAAAATCTTCTCCTACATAAGAAAGCCACTCACTTTATTTTGGCCTAATAATTTATATAATGACTATATAATAACTTTAATAATCTGTATAATGACTTTTAAAAGATGCATTATTTAAAATAATTTAGAATCTCGGTACTGTTTATTTTCAGATCATTGTAGAATCACATGCATTTGTAGAATAATAGAGAGATCCCATGTATCCTTCCTTCTCCCAGCCTTCCCCCGTGGTAACATCTTGCCTAGCTACATAGCTCAGGGTCACAGCCAGGATATTGTCATTGAAACACTTCACCAATTCAGATTTCACTAGTTTACATCTACTCATTTGTGTTATGTGAGCCCCTACATGGTGCACACACTAAGTGGACTGGCTACTAAGCAAAAGGTTGGTGGTTCATACCTATCTAGAGCCACGAGGCTGGTGACTTGAAGACAACTGTTGTTTGTGTTCTTTTTTATTTAGCTCTGTGTAATTTTTTCATACATGTAAATTTGACACCTAACACAGTCAAGATATAGGAAGATTCCTAGATTTCTAAAGAATACTGACTTTTTTGATCATAGAAGCATTTTTATGTGTGTGCATGTGAATATGTATCATTTTCCCACCTTCTTTTTCAAGTGTTTTGGAACAGCATAAACTGACAAAAGAACAATGGGAAGAAAGAATACAGAACTGGCATGAAGAACACAGAGGAATGTTAAGGTATTTGAGTGGTGGTTTTCTCTCTTGTTCCTCAAATTATTTTATAGTATTTATTACTACAGTTGATTATCCCCCAAATATTTTTTGATTGATGTGAACAAACAAAATCCCTTTTAATCTAAGGGATTTAGAAATATTTGTTTGGTTTTAGATAATCTTACTGACATAAACAATTAGCTTTATTTCAACAGGGAAGATTCTATGATGGAATACCTGAAGATTGCACAAGATCTGGAAATGTATGGAGTCAACTATTTTGAAATAAAAAATAAAAAAGGAACTGAATTGTGGCTAGGCGTGGATGCTTTGGGTCTCAATATTTATGAACATGATGACAAGTAAGTAAAGTAGTTGCACATTGAACTAGTCATCTTTTTCAGTGATTCTAAGTGATTTTAGTATTATGCCTCATTTGTGAAAGTGGCTTTTTTGGCTTGATTACCCTATTTGTTTTTAAAATGAAAAGTTTAGGAATGGCACATAGACATAAGTGTTATAATTCCACTTTTCAGAATCTTATAGTTTGTTTTATTTCTCATGTGATATCTATACCAAAAATAACAATTTATTTTTAATTGAAATATGCATCTTGAACTACTGTGAGTTATGTGTAGTAACTTAAAAGTTTTTCCTCAATAGGTAAAGAATGATTCTTTAATTGTTGTTAATCTCGGCAAATAGGCTGAGATTACAGTTATATAAGAAATCAGAAGCACCAGAAGAATGAATATAATGCATGATTTATTATATTCTATAATGAGTTTTTTAAAAGTTATCATACAGGAATTATTTTTATTGCTTTTAGGTATTAGTAGAATTCTTACGTTATGCCTGCTAAATAATGTAATTATATTTTGAAACATTACATTTATATTTAGATGCATATAGGATGCATTAAGTTCTAAAAGCACTTTTCAATCAGGAATTATACCTCTTATTTACCTGTGCCATTAATGCCTGAGTTGTTTATTGAGTTTGTTTTCATTATTACTTACATTCAATAAAATAAACATTTCTAATTACAGAAGAGGGAGCTTCCAAAAGTTCATTGGAAAGTGGAATTAAAAGATAATGGACATTTTCACAAGCATTTTGAAGCTTCCTCATAGAATGATTTCAAAAAGAGAGCATTTAACTCATTTTCACTCAACTCTATTTTTGAAGTTCATATTATAAAACATGTTAAAATGTTATATAACTAGAGAAATTTTTGGCAAGCAAAAATGACTTAAAAACTAATTATTATAAACTAAATCTTTTAATTATTGAATTGATTTCTATTAGATCACCCGTTTTCAAGATGAATATAAGCAAAGATGGGAAATATGAAAGGAGGGGTAGGCACAGAATGAGATTGGGGATGGTCAGTAGACTTGGTTCATCTCTAAATGGTGCTATTTCTTTTTATTATGGGAACTATTTATTCATTATATTTCTAAAAACTTGTTTTATTATAAATCAAAATGGGGTACAACCTAAACAGCATATTAGTTAAGTCTTTTTACTAGGACTGTCACGTACTACCTTTGTGACCTCAGTCTAGTTATTAACTCTGAAATGAGTCCAACTGTCAGGCTCACTTTATCACAGAAGGTTGTCATGAGAATTATATGAAGAAGTTCTGAATTTCAAAATAGTACATCCATGCCACGTAATATTATTACTTTAGAGAGTTTGCAGGCTCCTTTTTTTTTTAAATGATGTTATTTTGGCTTAGCCCAGTGACCATTAAAAGGCAGCACATAAAATTTATAGAATATTTATTTAGAAGTTACTTGCTGTGCTGCAGTTTCCAGCCAGTTTAAGACTTAAAAGAAAAATAAATACTTTGACATTCACGTTGTTTCCAGAGCCTGACTAAAAGATGCCCTTGTTGGCAGTGTAGGTGGTGCAGTCCTTTCTCCCTGCTGACAGTAGAACGGCAGTGATGGCCTTTGATGGTGCTTTAAAGAGTACCATGTGTGAAAAGTAGAAACCAAGGCGCTATAATTCCTTAAATGTTATGAGTAGGGTCATCAAATGAGGACAATTTCTCAGGGTTTAATTCCAGCTTTTTCTTTTATTTAGGCATTTGTATGTGTGTGCTTCAAAAATATTTTTATTAGCTTGTGCCCAGTTTGGGAGACGGGGGGTTGAAAAGAATGAAATCTCTTAAATAAAAATATTTTTATATTTGGCTTAAACATTGGTGAAAACCATTAAACAAAAATTTGTCTTTTAAAATGTATTTATTGAGATATAATTCAGTATCATTTATCCTTTGAAAGTGTAAAATGCAATGTTTTTAGTATATTTACAAGTATCTGAACATAAACCGAATCAGGAGGATGTGTTTTTAGAAATATTCAGTAGTTTACATCTGTAAGTTACTTGAAAGTTTTATCACTACTGCCATCAAGTCAATTCCAACTCATAGCAACCCTATATAAAGACAGGTTTGAAATGCCCCTTGGGGTTTCGGGAACTGTAACTCTTCATGAGAGTAGAAAGCTTCAACTTTCTCCCTGAAGAATTATATATAAGCTTTCTTTTTTGAATAAAAACCAAGTAAAACCAGTACACACTTCCTAAGAGTCTCTGTTGTACATTCTGGCCACCAGATATTTTTTAAGGTGATTTAATGAAAATAAAATGCTTTTACAGTTCATGACACATTTATTAAATCTTCAGGTATTTATTTAATTTCAAATTTCCCTGGAAAAGGAATGCCATCTGTATGTTATGATTTATGCTTGTTGTGAATAAGGGTAAATACCCTTCTGAAATCTGGAACTGTTAATAATATTCGTTCAGCAAAATTTGTTTCAGAAAGTTATGAATTTTGTACATGTTTCCTATCTTTAACTAAAGGTGCTTTCCTTTTTGAAGGTTAACACCTAAAATTGGTTTTCCTTGGAGTGAAATAAGAAATATTTCATTTAATGACAAGAAATTTGTTATAAAGCCAATCGACAAAAAGGCACCTGTAAGTAATCTTCTTTGTTTTTGTTTATTAATTCTAAGTTTTTGAGAGTTTGCTGTGATAACTCATTTATTGCTCATTTATTGAATTGCTCATGAGGCACATTCTCTTTTCATAGTTTTGCTTTTCCAATGATGAGATAATAAAGGTTATTTATATCAGGCATCATCAGAACAAAAAATCTTACCATCGTGAATGACGGGGGTGTGTGGAGTGGAGACCCAAAGCCCATTTGTAGGCCGCTGGAGATCCCCTTGTAACGGGGTCTCCGGGAGAAGACGAGCCAGTCAGGTGTGATGTAGCAACGATGAAAAATACAACTGATCCGAACTCTACCTTGCAAGTCTGGCTAGACCAGAGGATGTAGACTGGTATAGATAGGAACTGGAAACATAGGGAATCCAGGGTGGATGATCCCTTCAGGACCAGTGGTGTGAGTGGCGATACTGGGAGCGTAGAGGGAGGGTGGATTGGAAAGGGGGAACCGATTACAAGGATCTACATATAACCTCCTCCCTGGGGGATGGACAACAGAAAAGTGGGTGAAGGGAGACGTTTGATAGGGCAAGATATGACAAAATAATAATTTATAAATTAACAAGGGTTCATGAGGGAGGAGGGAGCGGGAGGGAGGGGAAAAAAGGAGGAGCTGATGCCAGGGGCTTAAGTGGAGAGCAAATGTTTTGAGAATGATAAGGGCAATGAATGTACAAATGTGCTTTACACAATTGATGTAATGTATGGATTGTGATAAGAGTTGTGTGAGGCCCTAATAAAATGATTAAAAATAATAATTACAGCAGGGAAAAATTTCTTAGATATTTCTTTTCTCTGAAACCACAAAGTTATAGGAGACTTTAATAATAAATAGCCTAGACCTTATTTTGGTTCAGCTGGACTAACACAGCCAAATTACCAACCCAAAAAGGCTTTGTCTGTTGTTATTGCCTGGCTTAGTTTGAGATGTTTTTAAGTTTTGCCTGCTATTCAGAGAAGACATCCAGTAACATTGTCTTACTGGTTATTGTGTATCAATTGCCATCAAGGAAGCTTCAACTCCGTAGGGTTTCTAGTGCCTGAATTTTTTGGAAGTATATTGTCAAGCTTTTCTTCTCAAGTTGGTTTTTTTATAAAATAGAAGCATTGGGTTTTTATTTTAATGTTCAGAATTATGAAAAAATTAAATTAAAATGTGATACCTCAAATCAGAGTCACTACCATTGACTACATTTCTGCTCATAGCGACCCTATAGAACAGAGTAATAACTGCCCCTTTGGGCTTTCAAGACTTAGGATCCCTATAGGACAAGGACGCCTCATCTTTCTCTCACAGAGCAGCTGGGGAGTTCAAACTGCCGGCCTCTGGTTAGCAGCCCACTATGCATCCCCCCACGGGTTCTTGTGAAAAATAGAAGGGAGGTGATATTTAGTAGGAGGTGGTTGAAACAATCACCATTCCCAACAAACAGTTTTAAATAATGTGTTACTTCCAGAACAAAGTAGAGTTAGCTCTGTTGTAAATTAACGCTGATACATGAACTTTGTATTTTCATAACGTTAGGACTTAAATCTTTATGCTTAAATTGCTTTTGTGAGCATGGCTGATGGTAGTTGAGGGCTCAGGATTAGAATTCTTGCCTTCCTTGCTGGACATCCAGCTTTGACTACCAGCCAGTGGACCTCAAACATGACTGCTTCTCTGCCGGTGGAAGTGTGTGTGCTGCTGTGCTGCTGCACAAGGTCTGTCAGAGTGAGGCAGACTAGGAGGAAAGGCTTAGTGATTTCTTGCATTTTAAGACCAGGTGATTTCTTTCTGAAAATTCAGTCATTGAAAGTACGGGTTTGGGTCCTACTGAGGTAGAGTATGGAGTATAATTCTACTCCGGTATACATGGGGACTCTTTGAAGCAGAATCGACTCAGTGGGACCCTGTCTTGTGTCAAATGGTACACTCCAGGACTTAAACTGTATGAAAAGGACAGACTAAGGAGAACATTTCAGGAGTAAAATACAACTCTGAAAGAAGGAATCCTTTTGAGTTTTGTGGCTGAAGCAAAAATCAAAAACTCTTACTTGGAAGAGATGCTCTTCTTAATTACCTTTAGAGGAGAAATTTTGAAAGGATAAGTAAGTATATTACCCTTAGAAAACGGGTGGCATATGCACGAGAAGGTAAGGAACAAGTTATGTGGAATTTTATGATTACATGTAAAGTCACATTAGAATTCATACCACATTTAAAATGTACAGATTTGTGAGAGACACTTCCTTCACAAATACTTTATTGAGAATACTTTATGTTTAGGATTTTGTTTTTTATGCGCCTCGTCTGAGAATCAATAAACGGATTCTGGCATTATGTATGGGAAACCATGAACTGTACATGCGCAGGAGAAAGCCGGACACCATTGAAGTCCAACAGATGAAGGCCCAGGCGAGAGAGGAGAAACACCAGAAGCAGCTGGAGAGGTATGGGATTTATCACCTTCCACTCTTTGTTGTGAGGAGGAGGGTTTCTAAGCATTTTGAGACTACTCTTTGCTTCTTTAAATTACTTGAAATTTACACTTTTACATTATTTTCATTATATTAAAGTTGAAAGCAGATATTTCTACTAGTATTTCATAACCTCACAGATGCTTTCCTTTTATCGGGCTTATTTTTCTTGGACAGGCATTGTTTTGAATGTATTGGTTTGAAATGTGAAAATTTGTTTTGTTTGTGACTATTCTTTTTAATTTTTGAAGGTAATATAAAATATACAAAATATTTTACTTTGAAACAATACCAGTGATACTGTAGAACTAAAGGGTACTACAACTAGCCAAAGACATTAATCTTTTCAATTATGGTTCCTTTAGACTTTCAAAATGCATACTGCTAAATTCACTAAATTGTGAGTTTTAAAAATGGGAAAAGATATTAAGTAGAATCCCCATTGATCTTAGAACAGAATTGAAACAACACTCCCAAATTGGATTTTAGATTAGATTGCATGCTTGATGGAAAAAAAAATTCTAAAAACCAAACAAAAAGTAAACTCTATCAAGGAAATCTTCAGAACAATATAATAGAGATCCTTGGGCAGGCTAGGGATCTGGAGTTGGCTGGAGACCCGGAGCAGGCTGGACATACAGAGCAGAGCTCTTATCTTCCCTTGGCTGTAGATCCTGAGCTAAGTCAGTTTCTGAGGTAGCAGAGTGGACAAACTGCCTGCTCTCGCCTCACCTTCCAACCCCAAACATCAAAAACAGCCAGTGTGACCCTGAACACCAACCCCCAGCAAAAAAAAAAAAAAAAGAATTATGTAAAAATAAAAGAACTTTATAATACTCTAAAATATAACCAAAACAGAAGACCCTGAAGTATATTTTAAAATGTTACTGGAAATAACTTGATTTGTATTTAGTAGTTAAGTCAGTTCTTGGCTAGATAACATTTTGTTACTTGCACTTAGGATGTTTGTATTTAATGTTTCTCTTAATTGTTTGTGTAGTTAGATCGCTGCATTCAAATCATCTCTGAATGAAAACATTTCATACTCATGGGGCCTTTTCTGTGGCTCTTGATTTTACAGTAATATTAAGTTCAGTTATTATTTTGGGCTTTGCCTTTCCTACTATTCTCATGTGACTTAAGATTTCATCATGGTTATTACATGGTTTTTAAGAAACATACTTTTTAGACTTCATATATCTTTTAAAAATGATTGTTTTTAGTGTAAGTGTACAGAGCAAGTAAGGCTCCTCTTTTGTACAAGTATATTGAGTGTGTTACTGAGAGGACTCATCTGTTGCCATCCACTGATCACAGAAACACAGAATCTACATGTGCGAACTGGAACCTTAGTCATATGTATCACTTTTTTTTAATCATTTTATTGGGGGTTCATACAACTCTTATCACAATCTATACATCCATCCATTGTGTCAAGCACATTTGTACATTTGTTGCCATCATCATTCTCAAAACATTTGCTTTCTACTTGAACCTTTGGTATCAGCTCCTCATTTTCCCCCTCCGTCCCTGCCATCCCCTCCCTCATGAACCCTTGATAATTTATAAATTATTATTATTTTGTCATGTCTTACACAGTCATATATATCACTTATATTGAATCAATTCCAACTCATGACCTATAATATGATATCTGAGGCTATAAATCTTTATGGATAGCTATCCTTGTGTATGCAGATATATGCAATGTGGACTTCATATCTTCTTACCTGGCATAGCCTCTTAGCCATCAAGACTTACTACCTTTCTCTGGGGTAACACTTTTCTTTTTTTTAAAAAAACTTTTAATAATCTCATTGCTTTGTTTTGTCATTTTTCTCCCTATTGAAAGATACCACTGTCTAACTTTCATCATAAGTTAAATGAGAAATTATGATATGTACAATTTTTATATCTCAGTCATCCCTCCAGCACATAAAGAAGACTGTTATATAACTTTATATATATAGAGAGAGAGTATGTTTAATAAGTGCTATTTGTTGATGGTGCTACATTTACTTGTAGTCTGAGGCCTCAACAGAAGTAGAAGACTAAGTTTCTCTCGACACAATAGCAATCCCTTGGTTCCTTTCCTGGATGCATTTTATAACTTTTTATTAGCAAGCCTTTAGTGTCTGTCCTGCAATTCAGTAACTGTTTAATTCACTCGAATGCCTAGTGGGTGTTTTATATTATTCTTGTCCCAGAGGTAATTGACCTTGTTTCAGAAATGGCATGCCAAGTCTTAACTTAGCATTCTTTGCTTTATAAGGAGAGAGAAATGGCAACAGGTTTGGTCAAGCCCACTGACAAGTAGTTAATCAGATTTACCTAAGGCAATGCAGAGATGTGCTGCTAGGGTCACTTAGGCCAGAAAAGTCGCTGGAAAAGTGGAGCAAAATGGCCTTGTTCCCTGCCATGACTTGGAATATGTGGCCATCATCTTCTCTCCCAATAGCTCTCATAACTGGTCTTTTGGCAGTGGATATGATTTTACATGTCAAAGAATTACACCCCCCCCCATTGTTTTATTTGATCCTGAGTCATTTGTATGTAAAATGAATGATTATCTGCACACTTTTACATGGCCAAACTTTTGTCAAACTTAGACACTAAGCGCCTCCAGTTAAAATTTGATAGTTATATACCAATTACAAGTGTTTTGTATGGGAGCTCCTTTGTCGTGGCTGTCTACACATGCTATTTAGGATACTCCCTCCCAGGACACAGCTGGATGTCATACAACACACAGACTTTGGAATTAGGTAAATTTGGGTTTGAATCCTCATCCAACCATCCTATTGGTTAAATAACTACTGAACTTCACTTCTCCTGTTGATGTGAGAGTAAAAAGTTCTAGCCTCAAGTAATTTTGTGAGAAACAATGACATTGAGCAAAGTAACCAGTGCTCAGTAAGCATTAGCTATTTTAACTGTTGAGTATTAATATTGTCAGAATGTAAATTGAATCCAGAGATTTTTATTTTAACTTGAGAAAAAAAGTTGAATTTACTTGCTTTTGTTTGTTTTTTTTACGGTAAGTAGTATAAATTTTATTTTTTGTGTTTAATAAAGATAATTGGTAATTTATATATTTATCTCTGATAGAGCAACTGGACAAAAAGTGTGTTCCCAGCCCTGTGTTCTAAATATAAATATTTGCATTGATACTTTAGAGTATTGCTCCCAAAATGGACTCACTGTCCCCCTGTGGCTGCTGGAACGATCCAGGGGCCTGCAATTATGGGCTATAGTACAAAAGGGTTGAATTCCGTGGGGGTGTGCACATAAATTTTTTTTCTAAAAGGGGACTTGTAGGCCAAATAACTTTAGTAATCTGTGGTTTAGAGTAATAATTAGAGGCTTTATCTCATGAAAGTGGAACTTGAGCAAAAGCTTAGTAGCTAGAAATAGGCTTGAGGATTAGAGCAGTGGTTCTCCTCCACCTGTGGGTCGTGATTGGGGGTCGAATGACCCTTTCACAGGGGTCACCTAAGACCACCGAAAAACACATAAATATTTCACAGTATATAATTACATATTGTTTTGTGATTAATCACTGTGCTTTATGTTTTAATTACCATATATACTTGAGTATAAGGCAACCCGAATATTGGCCTAGGCACCTAATTTTATCACCAAAACTGCATTAAAAATGTGCTGAAAAACTCGGCTTATACATGAGTATATATATACTGTATGTTCAATTTGTAACACTGAAAATACAACCTGCGTTATCAGATATTTACATTACGATTCATAACAGTAGCAAAATTACAGTTATGAAGTAGCAGTGAAAAATAATTGTATGGCAGGGGGTCACCACAACACGAGGAACTGTATTAAAGGGTCACGGCATTAGGAAGGTTGAGAACCACTGAATTAGAGGAAGATAGTTTCATATGAGGATGTCAACAAGAGCAAACAGATGGATAAGAATAAGTATGGTATTGTCTTGGGATAGTGGCTTGACCAGCTAGGTTCTCATGTGAACAGTATTTAGTGGAGAGGAGAAAGATCTTCTATTTTCATAAGGGAAATATGACAAGTCCTGCAAAAACTGGTGTTGTGGAGAACCACAGGTGTTTATAATAATTGGACTGATAGACATGTGAAAACTTCAGCAATTTGCTCCAAAACTGGACTTTCTATGGTAGAAATATATGGGTATCTAGGGATTTTGAAATGTAGGTTTATAGAATGAGGGAAGGAATTCAGAAAGTAAAAAAATGACAATGTTTATCTGAGACTTGCTGTTGAGAACCTTTGTAGTATTGTGCCAAAAATACAAACTTGGCACCAGCTGGTAGGGATGCGGTTCTGTGAAACATGTAGACATTCTTGAATGAGTGTCAGAGATGAAGCCAATGGCAGTTAATGTACAGTAAAAATAATAAAAAATGATGCGTGTTGCTGGAATAGTGATTAAGCACACATACACACACTTACATAATTAACTAGTCATATCAACAGTAGACCACCCCTATGATCATTCTAATGGGATTGCTTAAAAGAGATAAAGCTAATTTGTCACTTTGTATTTAGGCATAAATAGGTACTACAGAGAAATTAAACTTGTAAAATTCATTAAAAATTTTATATTTGTAATTTTGCCATTTAGATCATTGTAAGTGGTTAATCCAATGACTTAAGTACATTTACCTTGTTAGTCAGCCATCACTAGTCTTATTTCCAAAGTTTTTCATGATTCCAAATAAAAACACCACCTGTTGCTGACCAGTTAATTCTGACTCGTGGTGACCCTATTTTAAAAGACAAAACAAAACCTACCCCCCCAACCCCCACTGTTATTGAGTTGATTCCAACCCATAGTGACTCTGTGACAGAGGAGCGCTGCCCTTCTGGGTTTCCATGCCTTACCTTTTGTGGGAGCAGACTACCTCCTCTTTCTTCTTTGCTATGGATGATGGATTCGTGCCTTACTGTTAGAGCTGAGCACTTTAACCAGTGCACCACCAGAAACTCAGTATACCTTAAATAGCAACTCCTTGTTCCTCACATACCAGCCCCTGGTAACTATTTTTTTTTTTAATCATTTTATTGGGAGCTCATACAACTCTTATCACAATCCATAAATACATCAATTGTGTGAAGCACATTTGTACATTCATTACCCTCATCATTCTCAAAACATTTGCTCTCCACGTAAGCCCCTGGCATCAGCTCCTCACTTTTCCCCCTCCCTTCCTGCTCCTCCCTCCCTTATGAACCCTTGATAATTTATAAATTATTATTTTGTCATATCTTACTGTCCGACGTCTCCCTTCACCCATGGTAACTTTTTAAAAATACTTTTGTAGGGGGCTTTTACATCTCTTAGCATAATCCATACATTCCTCCAGTGTATCAAGCACATTTGCACATATGCCGCGATCATCATTTTCAAAGCATTCTCTTTCCACTTGAGTCCCTGATACCAGCTCTTCATTTCTTCCCCCTCCCCCACCCCTGGTAACTATTAATAAACTTTTGTATTTATAATTTTGTTCTAAATATTTCATTTAAGTAAGAACTCGTGTACTCTTGGCTCCCTTGTGTCTGACTTGTTAGGAGCTCTGGTAGTGTAGTGGGCTCCTTGGACTGCTGAACACAATGCCCAGTTCGAAACTGCCAGCTGCGCCACTGGAGCAAGATGAGGCTTTCTGCTCTCGTAAAGATTGGCGGGCTCTGTAGCCCACAAGGGCAGTTCTGCTATGAGTCAGAATTCACTCAATGGCAGTGAATTTGGTTTTGATTTGGTCTGATTTGTTTTCATAGTTCATCTCTGTCATCGCATGTATTAGAACTTGATTCCTTTTATAATTAAAAAAAATTCATTTTTATCAATTAAAAATTGTTGGCCTTTTCATTTTACGGCATTTACCTTTGTGTGTGTTATTCATGCCACTGGTTTTTCCTCCGGTAACCTTTTACTAAAGAAGGGTTTGTTTTTGTTTTGGTATGGCACCTGTGCAGTTCTTTTTGGTGCTGATAATTGGTGACCTCATGAAAAGAATCACACTGCAACCCAACCCTAATATATATATATATATACACACACACACACACACATATGAATGTAGAATCACACTGCAACCCAACCCTAATATATATATATATATATATATACACACACACACACACACACACACATGAATGTATATCCCAAACCCAGTCAAATCCAATGCCACAAGTCCATCCCAGTGCACAACAGCCCTGTAGATAGAGTAGCATTGCCTCATAAGGTTTCTAAGGCTGTCTGTAATCTTGGCAGAATCGAACTGCCACACCTCTCCTGCATTGCTTTTCATGTACCTGCTAAATGGTTAACTACAGTATCATCAGGGTCCTATTATAAAGCATTGGGCTGTATTTCTAACTAAGTGATATTTTAAACACAGCTATAGATATTGGAGGGGGTGGGCTGGGGTCGAGCAAATTTGTTGCTTTTGAGTCATTTCTTGCCCATGAGTAGGCTGCCATGTATTACAGACTAGAAGTGCTGCTTAGGGATTTCTTGGTTATAATCTTTGTGGTATCAGTTTGCTACACCTTAACTCCTTTGCTGCTAGGTGAGTTTAGAATGTCATTGAGTTAGCAGCCCACCACCAGCCCACTTTACCCTTTGGTTCTTCTTAGTTAATACTCTGATTTCACATGAATACTATCTCTGTTCATTCATAACAGGGCATTTGTGATTATTTTTAAGGGCACAGTTAGAGAATGAAAAGAAGAAAAGAGAGATAGCAGAAAAGGAGAAGGAAAGAATAGAGCGTGAAAAGGAAGAACTTGTGGAACGTCTGCGGCAAATTGAAGAACAGACAATGAAGGCCCAGAAAGGTAAGTCTCTTTTTGACAACAAATTAAAAATTGTTTATTGCTTGTTATCATATTGTGTATTTCATTACTATTATAAAAATTTGTATTATGTAGAATACTTTTTTTGCCTTTTATTTTACCTAATTTATATTTAGCAGAGTCACATTATAAATGTGTTTGAAGAAGGCTTAACTATGTAGTACTTGTATTCTTTTCATGTAATAAAGTGCACAGATATTTGACATTTCTTCTTTTATGTCTGTAATTGTAAATATTACTTTATATATATTCCTGTTCAAGGTTTCCTAAAGAGAAATACATATTAAATACTGTATGACTTGAAACAAAAGCTTTTTTTTTGGTTAATACGTGACCCATAATAAATGGCCATTAAAGTATTTTTTCCTTCTTCTTAATTTTATTTATTCATTCATTTATGTATTTATTTATTTATTTATTTAGAACATTTTATTAGAGGCTCATACAACTATTATTGCAATCCATACACACATCAATTGTGTAAAGTGCATTTGTACATCATTCTCAAAACATTTTCTCTCCACTTAAACCCCCGACATTAGGTCCTCATTT